GGACCACCCTGTATAGAACAGCGCTGTGGCAAGATATACATTTAGCCCCTGAGGAAGCGAATGCTGTTGTGAAACATGTCGGGCAAACTCTCCAGCGCTAGAATGTCCCTCACCCCCCTATAGGATCATCCTGGTGGTTACTTCTATGCTTCATCACTGGTTGTGTTCCTTCTATTACATGGTGGGCTTTGGGACATTCATTGTGGGGATATTACGTAATATGGTGTATATGTGTGATGTAATGTCAAATAAAGCAATACTGATTTTACTAACACATGTATGTAGTTTCTGTGCCTATAAAGTCCATTTATATTATCCTTGTTTCCTTTGACTACAACAAAGCCCTCCAGTTGTCTGGTTGGGACGAGCTCCGGTCATCCGGCAGGCCAGGCCGTGATGACGTCACTCCCACACACATGAGTGCCAGAGTCCTGGGCCACGGCACACAGTTCTGAAGGAACGGCACAGGTATGATGTTCCTTCAGAGCGCATGAGGCAGCTTACAAAAAGAGAGAATATCTCCTAAACCAGGGATGGGCAACTGTGGCCCTCCAGCTATTGTAGAACTACCAGTCCCATGAGGCATTGCAAAACTGACAGTTACAAGCATGACTCCCAAAGGCAGTGGTATGATGGAACTTGTAGTTCACCAACAGCTGGAGGGCCACAGTTGCCCACCCCTTTCCTAAACGGTGCACATTTAGGAGATATTCATTTTACCTATAGGTAAGCTTTATTATAAATTGACTTGTAGGGAAAAAAAAAAAAAAATGAGTTTACTATCACTTTAAGGTAGTAAAATCTTCTGCGTGCAGCTCCCCCTAGCCCCTCCTTATACTTACCCAAGCCCAGGGGCGGACTGACAACTCATGGGGCCCCTGGGCAATAGGTGATCATGGGGCCCCTGCGTCCCTTGCCCACACTCAAAAAAGCCTATAAAAGGTACCAGGTGCATTTCATGGGGCCCCCTACTGACCCCTCACAGAACTGGGCTTTTTTCTGTGGGGCCGCATATTTGCATACCTGTCTTTGTGCTGGGAGCGCACCTCTCAGCTTACTCCCAGCACAAAGACCGTGGTGTCACTGAGAGCCCCGGGTCCCATTCTAACAATCGGGACCCGAGACTCCCGATTCCGGGTCACATGAGGCTGTGATAGCCTCTGATTGGTTATCACAGTGATCAGTCACTGTACAGCCCGCCCCCTTGTTTTTTTTCTCTCTCTATGAATGGAGGAGAAATATACATTGTAGCTCTCTAACTCCTGGCATAGGGGAAAAAAAATGTGTGTAAAAAAAAAAAAAAAAGAAAAAAGAAAAAGATAAATAAATATTAAAAAATAAAGAAAAAATACCTAGATCAAGGTTTAGATCTAGTTCAGGTTCAGTGCCAGGGTTAGTGTTCGGGTCAAGGTCAGGTTCAAGGGTCAAGATCAAAAAGTCAGGGTCAAAGGTCAGGATTTAAAAAAAATTATAGTGTCAGTTAGTGTCAATGTGTTTTAGGAAGAAAAAGACAAAAACAAAATGCGCGCTATTGTTTCTGGGCTGTACTACGGGTACAAACAACAAATAACATACACATATATGGTATCGCTGCGATCGTCAAGAGCTGGAGAATTTATTTTGGGTAGTTCTTTGGTGGTAGATTATGGTAGTAACAAGAAACACACAGCTAAAAAAAAAAAATTATTTTATTTTACTATTTTGGGCCAGTTTTCTTTTGATAATCAAAAAACAATCAGGAGATATCCATTACCATTAACCACCAAATGAAAGCCCAATTTGTCCTGAAAAAAAACGCGGTATAATTCACCTGGATGTACAAAGTAGTTGTGATGATCTGTACGATTTTACTAACACACGTCAACGTTGCAAAATTGTGCTTAGACATTTAGATTTGTTTTACCCTTAGGCGTGAAGAGGTTAAGGAATGAGACAGACATGGTTGCTATTATTTATTATAATTAGTTATATAACCAAAAAAATATTAGCTTGTTGTTTTGAATGATTTTCTCCCAGTTCAGAGACGTTTCAGTCCAATATTCCAGTAGGGATCTGCTTCATCCTTTTAAATCTTCTCCGAAAATCTTACTCATACCCCTTGAATTTAAATAGAAGCTTATTTTGCAACTGAACAGTCTTGGATTAACCGTTGCTCATCCGTAACACAAGCTTCTCAATGTCAATAAATTCTTATCTAATTATTTAAAATGCACTAACTATATTGTTTTTTGATCTAATAACTGATGATTGAGGAACACACTTCGTCCCTCTTCTGGCAGTCTTGGTTTTGCAGTTATTACAAAGGATAGTTGTGTGCTATCCAATCAAAATGCTTCTTTCTGCCCACCTTCTGCAAAAAAAAGGTAACACAGAGCCATTCATTCTGAGTTCTCTGATTGGCTAAGACAGTCTTCATGGATACAGTATACTTGTCACCTCCTCCACAACTGTCAAAACAGCACTTTAAATTCCTCTCCAAACTTGCGTGGGGGAGAGCACCTGGCATTAATATTCCGAGCACACAACTTTCGTCCTACAGTTGTTGTTTTTTGAAAATAAAAGAAATATGAATGCTAATAGCACAAGTCATGAGACTTGCCATAAGTGAATCTTGACTGCGTTTATTAATCCCCCACCCCCCCAAACGCAACATAATCTTTGCATATACTACCACTTTTGCACGATTTTTACTCTTTTACCCACTTCTCAATAAAGTCGTCTAAAATATTAAGGGCTATATTTAGCAATACAATCATTGGCTTAATTATAGTCCTACAGCCACCTTTGGAAAAATCAACCGGAAAAAAAAAAATATATATATTTGGTTTATAAAGCATTATAATTTTCTCATTTGTGCTAATCCAATAGGACTTTTTTTCAGAACTTCACAAAACAATGGCAAATAACACACCCGATTTGTATTGCATTTGCTGCTTGGTTGGAATGGTTGTCAAAGCTACAATGCTTGTGCTAAACTGCACTTAACAGTTCTAAAAAGTACACAGCCTAACCGCCCGGTAAAATTATATGCCTCCTAGTACTTTTACGGTGAACCTTCAAGACGTAACTAGAAAAGGCTTTCTATTTCATCCTAAAACACAAGCACTTAAATAACATATACAGTTGTGACCAAAATTATTCAACCCCCAATGCTGTAAAGGGGTTTAGGGACTATAGTGTACATTTGGAATTGTATTCAGAATCAAATCCTACAAGGACGTTGTAAACTACCCAAATGCAACTAAAATGACATCAATTGTTTATGTAATACAGTAGTAAATGGTTCTTAATGTGGTTTCTTCATTGCCACAATTATTCAACCCCTTAAAGACTACCACTCTGAAGAACAGAGGTTCATACAGGTGCTTTCCATCAGGTATTGAAAACACCTGTGGATGTCACCCGAGCAGCAATCAAGCATAATAAGCACCAATTAGGCAGCTTTAAAATGACTGTGATACTCAGCTCCTTCTAGACATTTACTGGTGTGGTTACAAACATGGTTGAAGGCAAGAGAATGGTCCAGGAAGACAAGAGAAAGAGGTGATTTCTCTTCACAGGAAGGGCAATGGCTATAAGAAGATTGCAAAGATGTTAAACATACCAAGAGACACCTTAGGAAGCATCATTCGCAAATTCAAGGCAAAGGGCACTGTTGAAACGCTACCTGGTCGTGGCAGAAAGAAGATGCTGACTTCGACTGCTGTGCGCTACCTGAAGCGTAGAGTGGAGAGAAGTCCCCGTGTGACTGCTGAGGAACTGAGAAAAGATTTGTCAGATGTGGGTACAGAAGTTTCAGCCCAGACAATAAGACGCACACTGCGTAATGAAGGCCTCCGTGCCAGAACTCCCAGGCGTACCCCCTTGCTGTCTCCAAAGAATAAGAAGAGTCGACTGCAGTATGCCAAAAGCCATGTGGACAAACCACAAAAGTTGTGGGATAGTGTTCTGTGGACTGATGAAACAAAATTAGAACTGTTTGGGCCCATGGATCAACGCTATGTTTGGAGGAGGAAGAACAAGGCCTATGATGAAAAGAACACCTTGCCTACTGTGAAGCATGGTGGAGGGTCAATCATGCTTTGGGGCTGTTTTGCTTCTGCAGGTACAGGGAAGCTTCAGCGTGTGCAAGGTACCATGAATTCTCTTCAGTACCAGGAGATATTGGATGGAAACGTGATGCAGTCCGTCACACACCTGAGGCTTGGGAGACGTTGGACCTTTCAACAGGACAATGATCCCAAGCATACCTCCAAGTCCACTAGAGCATGGTTGCAGAGGAAAGGCTGGAACATTTTGGAGTGGCCATCGCAGTCACCAGACTTAAATCCGATTGAGAACCTCTGGTGGGACTTAAAGAAAGCAGTTGCAGTGCGCAAGCCTAAGAATGTGACTGAACTGGAGGCCTTTGCCCATGAAAGAATGGGCGAAGATACCCGTAGATCGCTGCAAGACACTTGTGTCAAGCTATGCTTCACGTTTAAAAGCTGTTATAACTGTAAAAGGCTGCTGTACTAAGTACTAAGATTGAATGTCACTTGGGGGTTGAATAAAACTGATAATGCTGTGAGCACAGAAAAGACATTTGTGGTTATTTCATTATAACTGTTATGTTATATTTGTCTGACCTACAAGTGCCTCTTTAATGTAAATGTAAGCAAGATGACTGAATGATCAAAAGCAATGTCAAACTGGCCAAAACACTCAATTTCAGTGGGGGTTGAATAATTTTGGTCACAACTGTACAATCTTTCCATCTTTCTAAAGGTTGCTTCTTGGAACATAACATTACAAGTCATTAAGCCAGGATCGCGTGTCGATTTTGGCATTGTATTGTTCCAAAGAGGAAGTGATGTGATTTGTGTGTTTTTGTACATCTTTCGTCTCCATGGTTTGTGGTTTCTATTGATAGGTTGTGCGTTAGAGCACCTCCGTGTTTATCTGAGATACACTCCATGTTTAACTGTGCTGCAGGCCCCATAATTCCTTGGTCACGAGCCTCAAACTGGTGTTGTGCGCCTATTGGAAGGATTGTTATGTAGAGACTCCTTGTAGTCTTTAGGAATTGAATTGTGAACTTGGAGAAAGTTGTGCTCTCTTTCAGAGTTTAATAAAGAACCAACAGTCATCTTGGTGGGATCCCGGGCTGTTAATGTATAGAGGGAGATGTCACTGGTGGGAATGGGATTGAAACTTTTGCCAACAGGAGAAGGGTCTCTAGAACGGGGCTCAGTCGAGCGAGAGCTGGAGCGCCGGCGGAAGCGATATCGGTAGCTGGGTATTCGGGTAAAGGCAGATTTCTTGAAGAGGTCAGAGTGGGATTTGGCTCTTATTTGCCGATGCTTTTCAATGAACATATGTACTGCTAGTACGCCAACCATCTCTGCAATAATAAAGGAAAGTGCCCCAAAATAAAAGGACCAGCCATAGGAATAGTTGCTTTTCTTGGAGTCACTTTGACCGGGATCACCAGCATTGGCTGAAATGTAGACAATTATTCCAATGATGTTGCTTAGCCCTGAAAAAGAGAAAATATATTAAAGTGGCTTATTCTCCAAAACTAATCCATACACATCGACTACTCAATGGCCCTGTAATCTATTTTTCATTAAAATGTTTCTCGTGGTTTTTTTTTTGCCTCCTTGTAATGTCTTCTGTGAGCTACCAATCTTCCCTTTTTATCCCTCTTTGGAATGAGGAGTGCATGTTAGTTTCAACCATGTGAAATTCTCTATACACACTATGAATCCCATAGTCCATAGTACATCTCAGGAGTGAGCAAGAAAATGTGGCTTCATTCCTCCATACCATCCTTTCTCAACCTTTTCAACACAGAGGAACCCTTGAAATACCTTTCTGGTCCCAGGGAACCTCTGCTAAAAATGACTATATCTACAGCTCATGATACATTAGTGAGATGGTCGGCGGTAAGAATGCTCCTCACACTTGTGGTCATTGGGAAGAATTACCCCCTTACAGATAGGTAAAAAGATCAATGGTGTCAATTGCTCATTGCTCAAGGAACCACTAGCAACCTCTGGAGGAACCCTGGTTGAGAAACTCTGCTCCATACAATAGGACCATGGAAAATGAACACAGCAAACCTCAAGGAGGATGGTAGCAATAGCAAATGCTTTTTTTAAGTTAAGAATACATACTTGAATAGAATATATATATTTTAAGCCAGAGTTTAAAATATATATATAAAATATTTATCTAACTGCATTTTCAGGCCTTCATTGGTGTGCTATTCAAAGGGATCTGACCTGACCTAAGATGAGGTAAAAAAAAAACCCCAACACTGAAGTATAGGTACCTTGTGTTGCCTGCGAGTACAGTTATTAGTCTTAAAATTGATCCATGTGCACCTGTGGAGCTCCTGGGAATCTAGGCCCATGGTCCCCTCTTTTGCCCAAGTACAGGGGCAGACTGACAACTCATGGGGCCCCGGGCAATAGGGGATCATGGGGCCCCTGTGTCCTTGCCCAAACTCAAAAAAGCCTATGAAAAAGGTACCAGGGGCATCTCATGGGGCCCCCTACTGACCCCAGGCCCTCGGGCAGTGCCCCAGTTTCCTTATGGTCAGTCCACCCCTGTCCAAGTAAGAATTATACACTGCTACATAAATTCTGCCCCTTGCATTTCTGTTGTTCACTTCTAATCATGGTTCTTATGCCTTAATATTTTGTCAGCACATATATGTAACCTCATCACTACATCACAGGATATACCACAAAAGTATAGCAATTGGCAGCATGAATAGTAATATAATTTACTATTCATGCCCCGGCCGAGTTATCAAACTAGTTAAAAAACATAAAGTTTGTTTACCACGATAACGTTTTAAAACCTGTCTCCAAAACATGGAATATCATCTCATCTCGTAGATGACTCTTCTCATATATGTCAGATGGCACTTCCTTGTCTTTAATGTGTTAATTATGCAATGTATTTCTCAATTGAACATGGCAGGAGATCCAACTCTGACTTGCAGTTAAGAGTATTTGGCCAAGCCCACTTCTTGCCATCACATGCAATGTTCTGGCCTTAAAAAACGTTTTCTCCTTAGCTGACATCTTTGTTGCAGGATATAATCAATATAGTCAAAAGTTTGAGCACACGGGATCATCACACTTATTTGAGCTTATTGGTCATCCCATTCCAAAACCATAGGCATTAACCCTTTCGCTGCCACCAGGGGCAGACTGACAACTAATGGGGCCCCCGGGCAATAGGGGATCATGGGGCCCCTGTGTCCTTGCCCAAACTCAAAAAAGCCTATGAAAAAGGTTCCCACGGGCATCTCATTGGGCCCCCTACTGACCCCGGGCCCTTGGGCATTGCCCGAGTTTCCAAATGGTCAGTCTGCCCCTGGCTGCCACTGATGTACAGAATGTCTTAAGTTGGCAGCAGGGGGTTTATTATACACCCCTGGCACTACAGCAGCCAGGAATGTGTGTAAATCTGAAAAGCCAACTGTCGGCTTCCAGATGGAAGCAATCTGGTCGCTGTACACTTCCATCACTTCCACAAACTCCCCTTAATGGATGCTCTCTTCACTCTCCCCCAGCACCATGATTCCTGGGCTCTGCTATCTCATCTGTGGGCCTAAGACCTGCACAGTGTGTGTCGCCAGATAGAGAGGAGAGAGATCAACAAGCATCCACTTACTGATCTTCCTAGCTAGTAAGGAACAGTATCACGCATCACTTCTGGTTTTGGCTATTGTGACCGGGAAAGAAGCTAAATGATGAAAGGGGGGCAGCACAGTGGCTAAATGGTTAGCACTTCCACCTGGCAATACTAGGGTTATTGGTTCAAATCCCAACCACGGCATCACCTGCCTGGAGTTTGCATGTTCTCCCTGTGCCTGCGTGAGTTTCCTCCAGGTACTCCGGTTTCCTCCCACAGTCCAAAGACATGCTGGTAGGTAATTGGCCCTAGTATGTGTATGTATGAATGCAAGTTAGGGGCCTTAGATTGTACACCCCTTGAGGGTTAGGGACTGATGTGAAAGTACAATATAAATATATGTAAAGCACTGCATAAATTGACAGCACTATATAAGTACCTGTAATAATAATGAACAACAATTCTACTTCATCTCAGTAGTGTTCAGTAGGGTTGAGGCCAGGGCTCTGTGCAGGTTACTCAATTTCCTCCACACCGAACCCATCAAACCATGACTTTATGGAGAGGCTTTGTGCACAGGCACACAATTACAAAAGCTCCTTCCCCATACTGTTGCCTCAAGGTAGGAAGCACACATTTGTCTAAATAATATTTTTGCCATATTACTGCTTAGCTTACAGTAAATAGAACCTAAAAAGGCTTATTTTTCCACATCACATACAAATTCAAATTATCTATTATTTGCGCATATGCGATGGGTTGGTCCCTCACTTTTATGATGCAGTGCTGGAACTTACCTGCTGAGACGAAGAAGATTCCTGCACTCAGGATCACATTGTGCTTATTCTTGTAAAACTCACTGGCAGCTACACACAGACCTCCAAAAAAGAGAAGACCCACACTAAGGATAGGGAAGATACTGGAAGCACGTACAGCACCTGAACAGAGAGGAAGATATGCGTTATTAACCTAGTAAAAAAGAAGCAGCTTGGAGTCTAATTTAGAAACATTTATCTCTTTCCTCCTCATTGCACCAGCATCACTATGATGTGATTATTAAGAAAAAGAGAGGAAGGCGCCTCTAAGTGCAGTATTGACAACATATTTAGTAAACAATGGATAAATTGAACTTACAAGATAAACGGTTAAAAAGACTCATCTTGTGGTAATTAGATCCAGGTGGGACATCCAGCCGTCCAGCAGCAAACTATGTCTATAGGATCAGGTCTGAAGAAGGAGCCTATTGAGCATGCTCCAAAATGCATTACCGCCCCCTTCACCTCCTACATCTGACTCTGCTCTCCAAGCTTCATTTTTGATGCAGGCACTGGACTCTACTTCCTGATCCTATAGACATAGTTTGCTGCTGGACGGCTGGATGTCCCACTTGGATCTAATTACCATACGATGAGTCTTTTTAACCGTTTATCTTGTAAGTGCAATTCATCCATTGTTTACTAAATAAATTGTCAATACTGCACTTAGAGGTGCCTTCTTCTCTTTTTCTTGTTACTGCATTGGAAACTTGCTTCCACTATAAGAAGAGCTGCCTCAGTGTTACTGCTCCCATCCATCCATCCCTGATATCCATCTGGCACGTTTATCTTACAGCTACAGAGGTTGGGTTCCAACAAGCGCGCCCTATATAATATACATTTTATAATGTGATTATTAGCTGGAGGAGATTGCTATTGTGTTCATAAAACACCAAATACTGAAATACAATTTTCATTTTTTTTTAAATCTCATGATTAAATGAGATGTCGATGTTCTCCAGCCTCTTTCAGCCACTTCATGTCTACAAGCACTCTCTACAGCAATAGTTGCACATTATTGCTTTGGCTTCCTGATGGTGACAGTGGCTGATTATGTCTGTACAATGTGTATTGGTATAACTGCATGTAAACTTCACCAAGGGTGCAGTCTCTGATGGTTTTGGAACTTGCCCAGGTCAATTATATCACTTCACCTCCCACCCCCCAGAACTGAGCACTGTCATATGTTCCATTACTAAGAGTCCTCATTCATAAGAGAGGTGTTCCCCAAACTGTGTCTCTTTGCTTGTAGTTAACTGGTCCTTGGGGCATTGTGCCTCTCACCAACACGAACAATGGGGTGCTTCCTCCCACTGTCAGATACAATGTGGCACTTTTCCTTCCATTGACACCAATGATAGTGAACTATTCCTTCCACTGACACTAATGATGGGGCACTATTCCTTCCACTGATACCAATGATGGGGCACTATTCCTCCCACTGACACCAATGATGGAGCACCATTCCTTCCACTGACACTAATGATGGGGCATTATTCCTTCCACTGATACCAATGATGGGGCACTATTCCTCCCACTGATACCAATGATGGAGCACTATTCCTCCCACTGATACCAATAATGGGGCACTATTCCTTCCACTGATACCAATGATGGGGCACTATTCCTCCCACTGACACCAATAATGGGGCACCATTCCTTCCACTGACACTAATGATGGGGCACTATTCCCCACTGATACCAATGATGGAGCACTATTCCTTCCACTGATACCAATAATGGGGCACTATTCCTTCCACTGATACCAATGATAGGGCACTATTCCTCCCACTGATACCAATGATGGAGCACTATTCCTTCCACTGATACCAATAATGGGGCACTATTCCTTCCACTGATACCAATGATAGGGCACTATTCCTCCCACTGATACCAATGGTAGGGCACTATTCCTCTCACTGATACCAATGATAGGGCACTATTCCTCCCACTGATACCAATGGTAGGGCACTATTCCTCGAACTGATACCAATGATGGGGCACTATTCCTCCCACTGATACCAATGGTAGGGCACTATTCCTCGAACTGATACCAATAATAGGGCACTATTCCTGGAACTGATACCAATAATAGGGCACTATTCCTCCCACTGATACCAATTGTAGGGCACTATTTCTTCCAGTGATACTAATGAAGGGCCACTATTCCTTCCATTGATACCAATGGTAGGGCACTATTTCTTCCAGTGATACTAATGAAAGGGCAATAGTCCAGCCATTGACATTAATGAATGGGCAATATTCCTCTCACTGATACAAAAATAGGGCAATAATTCTGCCATTTACACCAACAATGAAACCTGATTCCTTCCACTGATATCAATAATGGGGCACTACTCCTCTCACTCAATCACGCTAATGATGGAGCACTATTCCTTCTGCTGATACCAACAATGGGGCCATATTCCTTCCACTAATATAAGCATAAGGATATTATTCTCACTTCCACTAACCCACTAACCACAGGTGCTAAGCCATTTTTTACACCTATTGCTCAACAACCCTAAAAATGACCACTAAGCCTGGATGTTCTCTACTCCCACTGGCTCCTAAGGTTCCAGGCGCTGAATGTTCACAGGAATGACTGCTATGGGCTGGGAACCACCACAACCGGGATCGTCACTGACGGACGTGCAGCTATCTTTGAAGCGTTTACACCATTCAAATGTCTTACTACGGCTGAGCGTCTCATCTCCATACTGTGCTTGATGTCTTCTGTAGATATCCATGGGTTTTCAGCCGTCATTAACAAGAAACTTCATCACCAAACGCTGTTCCATGCATGCACTAACACTATTGTCTGCCATCTTGGATCAGGAAGGAATTTTTTTTCCCTGCAGTAGCAAATTGGATCATGCTTTGCTGGGGTTTTTTTTGCCTTCTTCTGGATCAATTGTGGGTATAGGATTATAACTTTTTTTTTTTAATAGTTGAACTGGATGGACTTTTTTCAGCCACTAACTATGTAACTATCTTGATTAGTGGTCTCTGGACTGGCCCGCGACATGTGCGCCACCTATCAGAAATAGGACACACTTACCACTTACTACTGCACGTAGTACCGCCTCGCTAGCATCCATTTTTATACCTCTAAAATGAAAAGTCCTGGTCAGGGGCGGATTGACAACTCATGGGGCCCCCGGGCAATAGGGGATCATGGGGCCCCTGTGTCCTTGCTCAAACTCAAAAAAGCTTATGAAAAAGGTACCAGGGGCATCTCATGGGGCCCCCTACTGACCCCGGGCCCTCGGGCAGTGCCCGAGTTTCCAAATGGTCAGTCCACCCCTGGTCCTGGCTTGACTTGAACACCTCTTGTAAATTATGCAAAATCATTGCCCAATCGATTTTTAGTTTTATCCAAACAATTCTGTTGTTTCCATGAAAGGTTCGGGTTTGAAAAAAATAGGGCAATGCTGGTCTTTTGTAAGTGCAGTCCGCTGACTGTAGCACCTAGTATGATTGTCCTGCAAATCTCTGCAATCTGTATGTAATGTCACAGGTAAACAGCTTTTGACTTTGCATTTGTGCGACTGAATTTGCATTCTGCCTGGAGTATCCCTTTGACAATCCAATTGTAGGTTACATTTTTCACCTGGATGACATAGGACCAGGGCTCCTTTGATGTATATTTTCCAGCTGTGAAAGCATTGCCTGCGGGCAATCTATTCTCAGTGCTGTGTCTACCTCTATCCTATCACTGATGCAGAAGAAAAAGGATTTTAGAGTTTCCAGGTTATGAAAAGACACAAAGAAAAATAGACATCTGTCTCTCCATAAACAGAATCTCTCTAGAAATGCCAGGGGCTCTGGCGTTGCAAGAAACCTGTTAGAGAATATCTTTATTTATCCAGAATCCTGATGAGCATCTCGCTCTTATCAGCCAGGTTGCTCGGGGCAGCTCTGTGCGCTGCATATGATTGGCTCAGAACTGGCAAACTGCATAGGCAAGGATGTCATTGATTATTGACTGTTGAGTGGCTGAGCTTTAGAGCTTGTTCTCTGTGTTCTGGCTATTATTTAAATGAAATCAGCTCAATAGCAATATACAGAACCATTGATTTGGTGATTCGATGAACCATGTCTTCACTGCGAGGCATTGTGTTATAATGACACCTTCTGTCGCTTTTTTTCTTTCTAACATTTATTTTATGTATGTCCATCAAAGATGATGCTAAAGTCACCGTATTCTTAAAATGAACCTTTTATTTTGTTGATTACAAAGCCACAGGTTCAGTTGAAGTAGATCTAAAGTAGATCTCGCCGCCAGGACTTCTCCAGAGCCTCTCCCATTCTCTGGAACTCCCTACCACAGTATGTCCGGTCAGCCCCCACCCTGTCTGCCTTTAGGTGATCTTTGAAAACTCACTTATTCAGGGACGCCTACCCCACCTCCACCTAAGAACTTTACTTAAATTGGAGTTCCACCCAAAAGGGGAAGGTCCGCTTTAAAGATTGGTCTCCCGCTCCCCATTAAGGATTGGCACCTTTGGGGAGTGGGGGGGAATGGGTACCTGAATTTGACATGTACCTGCTCCCACTTCTGCTGCAATCGCCTAGGCGATTGGAAGTGGAGGTTGTCCTCCTACCCTCCCACCCCTGAAGTCTTGAGGGACACGTGACAGGTCCCAGAAGACGACGGGGCCATTCAGGAAGCACAGCACTACTCACGCATGCGCAGTGGGCACCTGGCTGTGAAGTCGCAAGCTGTCACAGCCGGGTGCCCACACTGAAGATGCCGGCATCCGGAATACAGGACGGCCGGTGAAACAGCTGCGGCGGGGGCAACGCAGGATTGTGGGACAGGTAAGTGGCTGTTTTTTAAAAGTCAGAAGCTACAGTTTTTGTAGCTGCTGACTTTTGTTTTTTTACAGAGTGAGTGGAACTCCGCTTTAAATCATGTCCACCAGATCATCCCCCACAGCTATCACCTTTTGTATCACCTCCCCCTCTCTATAGATTGTAACCAGCAGGGCCTTCATATTCCTTCTGTACTGAAATGTACTGTAATTGTATTGTCTCCCTTTATATTGTAAAGCGCTGTGAAAACTGTTGGCGCGATATAAATCCTGTATTATAATAATAATCTAAACCCAATCACTAAAATTCAATATAAGCTTTAAAGTAATGTCATAAGTTTAATCTAGTTTTCAAGTTTAAACCTTGAAGGTACAAGCACTTCCGGTTATAGGCTGGCAATGCTGTAACCCCACTTATGGTACCTTGTCCTGTATTGATTTATGCTCTCCCAGGAATGACTTAGCTTAATGATTGTGATGTGATTAGATATCTTCCCAGAGCGGTATCTGACCACTTTCCTCTACTGGTGGATTGCTACAAGAAGATCAGCAAAGCTTTACTTATCAGTCAGAATACTGTAGTAAAAGTGATACAAAAATTTAACAAAATGGAACTGCAACCATATCACAGAGACATCCAGGCAGTCCATGGAAGTTGACACCTCGACAGGAGCATCTTCTGATGAGAAGAGCTGAAGAAAATTGTCATGTAAGTTCACTGAAGTTAGCTAAAGAAGTAGAAAGCCAAACTGGGGTGATTGTTTTCCGTGACACAATATGGCGTACACTGCAGAGGAATGGCATGCATGGGTGTCATCCACGAAGGGAGCCTCTCCTAAAGCCCATGCACAAAAAAGCCTGCCTATAATTTTCCAGGACCCATGTTGAAAAAAGAAGAAGACTACTGGGATTCTGTACTCAGGAGTGATGAGAACAAGATAAATGTTGGCTTCAAAACTGTATGGCGCCACAAAGGTGAGGAGCACAAAGAAAAATGCAAGGTGCATACAGTGATACATGATCGTGGCAGTCTCCTTCTGCAGGGCTACATGAGTGCTTCTGGTGTTTGAAGAGCTGCATTTTATTGATTGTATCATGAATTCACTGATGTACTACTCTATATTGAAAGAGAAGATACTACCATCACTCCGTGCCCTTGGTTGTTGTGCACTTTTCCAACATGACAATGATCCAAAACACACACCTAAAGCAACTGTTGCATTTCTAAAGAAGAACCGGGTGAAAGTGATTCAGTGGCCAAGTATGTCTCCTGATCTGAACCCAATCCAACACCTATGAGGAATTCTGAAGAGACAAGTTGACCATCACTCTCCATCCGGCATCCAGGCTCTAAAAGAGGTCACTCTTAAAGAATGGAAAAATATAGATGTTGCAATATGTCGTCAACTTATTCATCCCATGCCTAGAAGACTTGGTGCTGCCCTTATAAATCATGGTGGTCATACAAACTACTAGATGTAGTAGTTTTTGATGTTGGGTGTATTTATTTTTGCATCAACTTTGAGTAAAACTGAAGATTTTGTAATCTAAGTTATATTATTACCTTGCTTTCATGTAATGAACTAAACAAATGTTCTATAAAAACGTAGTTTTGTCAAAATGTTGGAAATTGTTCTTGTGTTCATTGAGATATTGGTTAAAATCTTACTATTTAAAAGGGGATTTATGCTGAGCACTGTATATATAAATCGCTTCACGTATGGCCTGCCTTACTCTTGCATTGCGTCCTGGGTTTCCAACTACAAGCAGCCATGTCATTGCAGATTACACGGACATGGCCCACATTATCAGAAAGCCGATCCAAACAATGATGTGCAGGTTAAAGGGAGAGGCAAGAGTACATGTAGAGAGGAAGAGGCTGTAGGAGACAGGCAGCCCTGAGATCCAAAAAAGGATTGAAAGAATGATAATAAAAGTAATTTTTGAGAAAAAAAATTGAATTGTTTATTATACACAGTGCTTTACCATGTTATTTGTCATCCAGTTAGTGTTTTGATCTACTTAAAGAGTAACTCTTCTTTCTGGTACATTTACCACCCAGAGGGAATTGTTTTTTTTCTCAACAAAAGTGGGATTACTCTGTAACTGCATTACCCACATTCTTTTCACTCCTCTACTGCTCTGTTCAATGCTGAGAGTGAAGACAGGAAGCCACATTTGGGTTTCAAGTTGCAACTAGGGAGCTTACACAGTGGTAATGGCTTTCTCCCCAACCCCATGTGAGAGTACAAGCAGCCAATGACCAACCACCAGAATCATCACTTGGGAGGAAGTGGCATGTAAACCCAAAACTACTAAGAACTCCTGTTTGTTGGGGAGAGTGGCAGTTAAGTAAACCTGTTGATTTGGCCAGCATTGGCCGGTTTCAAGAGAACAATAGTAATTGGCTCAGAAAATCAATTCACCCAGATCAAATCTGCCTCGGATAGGCTCAGCCAAGGGACATCAGCCAGGATCGTGGAGTGCCTACAGACATTCTTTTATGGCAGGAGGCACTTTAAAGAGATTGTTTACATGGCTTCTTCATTAGTAATATTAATTATATTAATTATTATTATTATTATTGTTATTATGTTGTCTCCTAAAAGTTCCCTTTTTAAAAAATGTACTTAATAATATTTCAAGTGTTCTGAAATAATTTTATTTTATTTATAGAATTCAAATGAATCCTCCTTTCTCAGACGACTAAATTTGAAGTTTTTATTTGGAGAAAGGGATCAGCAAAGCAATCTAATTTTAAGCAATTCTACTGTGCTGTTTCTTTAGCTATCCCACGGAGCTCTAGAAATCCTTTGACATGTATTATTATTATTATACAGGATTTATATATATTATAACAGTTTGCTCAGCGCTTTCCAATATAACGGGAGACAATACAGCAACAATACAGTTCAATACAAGAGGGTTAGGAGCAGGGGCAGACTGACAACTCATGGGGCCCCCGGGCAATAGGGGATCATGGGGCCCCTGTGTCCTTGCCCACACTCAAAGCACACCCAAAAAAGCCTATAAAAAGTACCAGGGGCATTTCATGGGGCCCCCTACTGACCTTGGGCCCTCGGGCAGTGCCCAAGTGCTCGAATGGTAAGTCTGCCTCTGGTTAGGAGGGCCCTGCTCTTTGGAGCTTACAATCTAAGAGGTATAAAAACATTTATCGATAAAACAATGATTTAATATAGATAGCAAAACCAGGGACAGGGGCGGACTGACCATTTGGAAACTCGGGCAGTGCCGAGGGCCCGGGGTCAGTAGGGGGCCCCATGAGATGCCCCTGGTACCTTTTTCATAGGCTTTTTTGAGTTTGGGCAAGGCCACAGGGGCCCCATGATCCCCTATTGCCCAGGGGCCCCATGAGTTGTCAGTCCGCCCCTGACCAGGGATTTAGAAAAATGTACAAACCTATGAAATAAAAAAATAGCTGTTAATTAAAACCTAAATTACTTTTCAACGTCTATTTTCACCGACAGTTAAAAAATGCGTAATAGAATTCTTAGTCAATCTTTTACTCTTGACTCAGAGAGCAGTTTCCTTTGTTATTATGAGTAGATAAGGATGTTTGGGTCTGCCTGTGTCACAACCCCACTCCTTCCCATTCGCTCCTTTTCATTCAAACAGAAATTGTGTGGTGCTTTTCACTCTACAGACTGCATTAAGGGTTGAACAGCAAACAGCATGATCATGCAAAGTAAAGTCCTTACGCAGTAAGTACTCCGCCGTGTCCTGTTCATAATCGGCATCCTCAGGAAAATGGTCAATTTTCTTGCACATTCCTCGGAAGGCTCCTGCGGGAAAGAGATAACTAGTTACACAAAAGCAGCAACTGGGCCAAAATCACACCGGGACTTAAAACTCTCTCTTGAGAGATGATGTGTCCTGTGAGGCATTAACGCAGACAAACACAAAACAGAAGTAATCTCCGGTTTAACCCTTCTATACTAACAGTACTTCTTCATTTTATCAGGTTCGGACGTAGGACCGAAGATGCTAGTGGGCCTTGTTGATCTTAATGTCTCTGGCAAGAACTGTCTTGGGGAGTCTACGCTGTCCTACAGTATCCAATTAGATTTCAATATTCACTTTCATTTAAAGAGGAACTCAACTCTTTAGGTTGTGTCCAGGAAAGGGCAAGCAAAGGGTAAAGGACTAGTTGCCAGTATTGAAAACAAATCTTACCCAAGCTCAACTGCTCTATTCACCGCATGGAGACAGGAGACCAGTGCACTGGCCAAGGCGTCCACCAGGGGTGGACTGACCATTGGGGAACTCGGGCATTGCCCGAGGGCCCGGGGTCAGTAGGGGGCCCCATGAGATGTCCCTGGTATCTTTCATAGGCTTTTGTGGGTGTGGTTTGAGTGTGGGCGAGGACACAGGGGCCCCATGATCCCCTATTGCCCGGGGGCCCCATGAGTTGTCAATCCGCCCCTGGCATCTACTCTTCACAGCAAATATCCACAATATAAATAGCTGGCAACTCGGAAAATTTCTTAATGGAACTCTTTATTGGTTAATAAGGATGGACTATATGTTTGCTGAACACACAGACATCTGGGGCATGTAGCAGGCCGTTCTCCTGCGTGCCCCACAATGCAATGCGCTCTGGCGGCGCATTGTAATTGGCCAAAGTATTGCATCTGACCACAAGTTCACAATAAGAGCCATGATTGGCCAAAGTCTAAGTGACTTTGGCCAATCATGGCTCATGGCAAATTGGCGGAACTAGCAGGGAACGTCAATCCCTAGCTTTGCCCAAATCTTAATGACAGTTGCCGGTCAGACATACACAATTGGCTGGAGCTAGCAGTGACTTCACCACTAACTCTGCCCAATTGAATACATCTAACTCGCAAATGTCAGATTGCAGGGAGTGCTCAGTGGGTGCGGACGTATCAGCAGGTGTTGGGTTTTTTTATTTTTATTTTGGCGAATCGGCATCATCGTGACAATGCTGAACGTCATGATTGATGATGGATTACAACACTGGAACCATTTTTTTGGGTTGTTTTTTTAATAAAGGACTGCTTTTTTCGTTTTTTGTTCAATAAAGGATTTTTTTTTTTTTTCAAAATTCTGGTCTCTTTTTTTTTTCACACTTTTAACCCTTTAGTGAATGGGCAGGTGGTACAAGTACCCCTTACTCATTCACAAGGGGGCAGCATCAGGGTGCCCCCTTATTTAAAGGGGTACCCTGACGCTAATGAGCCCCCCTATCCGCAGACCCCCACAACCACCAAGCCAGGGTTGTGGGGAAGAGGCCCTTGTCCTCGTTGGCATAGGAACACTGTCCCCATGCCAAGGGCACATGGCCTGGTAAGGCCCAGGAAGGGAGCGCTCGTTCATGCCCCCCCTTTCCTGGCCTGCTAGGGCTGTGCTCAGATCAAGGGTCTGGAAGGAATTTAGGGGGACCCCACACTTCCCTCCCATTGTTGGGGGGTGGGGTTTCCCTTAAACGTCCTACCAGGCTAAAAGGGTCTGGTAGGGCTTTTAGGGGGTACCTCACACACTTTAATTTTTTTTTTTTTTTTTTACTGTGGGGTCCCTCCTAACCTTCCTAACAGACCTAAAGGGTCTGGTACAGATTAGGGAGGAAAATCCCTTGCTGTTTTTTTTTATAAAAATGTATTTTTTTTTTAAATGTCAGTCCAGCTGTAGCAGGGTCTATACAATGTACAGATGTGCAACTTTGCAGGTAGTTTAAGGGGACCCCCCCCCAGGCATGATATTTAAAAAAAAAATTTTTTCACTTTAAGCAATGAAAAATGACCAACAACTTGTATGTAAATCTTTCAAAATGGGCACTTTTGAATTTACAAGTTTTAGTCCCATAGACTTGCATTATGTTCGATGTTCGCGGTAGAACTTTTGTTATGTTCGAATGTTCTACTGGTAACCGAACAGAGGGGTGTTCAGATCATCACTATTGGTTACATAAATACAGGATCTATAAACTGACATGTTTCAGCTTCACAAAGCCTTATGTATTATTTATGGTTGGCAGTAGTCCATAAAGCTGACGCGTTTCAGTTTTACAAAGTCTTATATATTATATGTAGTTGCCAGTATTGCCTGTTGTCTCCCTGCAGCTGATCTTTTCTGACTCACTGTGCCTTGTTTGGGTGAGTCTAGGCAGAGATACTTTAGATCTCACATTGAACATATACAGCTATGAGGCTGTAGGCCAGGAGTGCCCTGGCACACTCACATACCTGGAAGTGCATTTTTGTATTTCTTGTATATTTTTCAGGATCCTACCTAGATGTAGCACTTCAAGACTTTCCTAGCATAGCAAAAATTTACTTTTTGAGTTCAAGTCAACTTTAACAATGTCTCTACAGTCAAACATGGTGAGAGGGGTCACTGATGTTTTGGGGTTGCTTTGCTGTTTCAGGCACTGGATGTCTTGACCGTGTGCATGGCATTATGAAATCTGAAGACTACCAAAGAATTCTGGAGTGAAATGTAGGGCCCAGTGTCAGAAAGTTGGGTATTTGTCAGAGGTCATGGGTATTACAGCAGGAAAATTACCCAAAGCACACATCAAAAAGCACCCAGAAATGATGTACGACAAATTGCTGGAGAGTACTGAACTGGCCAGCAATGAGTCCAAATCTCAATTCCATAGAGCACCACCTGTGGAGAGGTCTCAAAACAACAGTTAAAAGGAACCCTTCCAATCTGAGAAACCTGGAACAGTTGGGGGTTTTTACAAAGAAAACCGATTAATATTTATTATAATAATTTTATATTTTTTAATAAATTATAAAATTTATTTATTATTAAATTATTAACATTTTTTATTATAATTAAATTAAATTATAAATTTATTTTTTTTATTATTATAAAATTAAGAACAATTTAATTTTAAAATTATTAATTCTAATATATTAATTATATTATTTAATTTTATTTTTAAATTTTTTTTAATAAGTAAAATTTAATAATTAAATTATTTTAATTTAATAATAAATATTTTTATATATTAATAGATTAAATATTTTTTAATTTTTTAATAATTTATTATAACCCTTCCAATCTGAGAAACCTGGAACAGTTGGTAAAAGAAGGGTTCTCCAAAATTCCAGTAGAGAGATGTAAGAAACTGATTGATGGTTACAGGAAGCCATTGATTTCAGTTATTTTTTCCAAGGGGTGTGCTACCAAATATTAAATTGAGGGTGCCAGTAATTTTGTCCACTCCATTTTTAGGCCTCATGCACATATTGCATTTTTGCAGCCACTTTTAGGGACGTCAGGAGTTTTTTTTAATGCTTCCAAATGGCCCTCTATGTTATCCTATGTGTCCATGCATACATAGCCTTTTAGAAGCTTTTAGTAGAAGTACCTTTTACCAGAAGGAAAAAAAACCCAGGGTCAGTGCGTCCAGGAGCAGAAAAAAAACACTATACGCGCCTAAACGCTAGATGTGTTTAGCGCTTGAGCATTAATTCATTTCAATGGCCAGAAAAAAATTATCATTCTGGCCAATGAAATTAATTAACGTCCAAGTGCTTGACGCTGGTAGATTCGCATAAACGCTTGTAAAAGCGTTAGATACTTATACAAGTGTCAGGCATTTTTTTGCAAAAACGCTGGTGCCAAGAGGACAGCTTCTAGGAGAGTTTTCTTAACATCCTGTGTACATGAGGCTTTAGGGTTTTGCATGGAATGTGTCCAATTTGGCTTTTTGTTTCTTCATTTTTTTATGTCATACCAATGCAAACAAAATAAACAAACCTGAGAATGCCAAAACATTTGTAATCGCAACAATTTTATTGGCAAAGTGGTGCATTATCTGTCAGAAATGCAGGGGTGGGGGGGGGGGGGGGTAATATTTTTGGCCATGACTGTACAAACAGAGAGGGACACAGTCCCATAGGAAGGGGGTACACTGAATTCAGCAGCTCTAAAAAAATGGACAGTATTCACATACTTAAACAATCAGGAAATGAGAGAACAGTGCATGTATCCCGTTCAATAAAAATGGTACATTTCTTGGTTTTAAAACAAATTAGCAACATACCTTCACTTAGAGAGGAAAAGCACATCTCAGGCCATAAGAAGGCAATCAGTTATAGCCCATACACCATGGCCAGTGGTGGGGTAGGGTACAGTTTTTGGTTGCTGTCAGTTCCTCCATCCATACCTGCTCCAAGAATCTACGGGTGACTTGCGATCTCTTTCTCTTGAACGATGTATTGCTCTTTTTCAAGCCTTGAAAAGGGCCTTTTTCTTTGTAGAGGTACAAACAGAAGGCAGAGATTTCTGTCCACCTTGGATCCTTGGTGGAGGTACTGTTGGAATAATTGACAGCCACAAAGAACTGTACTCAAGCCCTGCCATTGGCCACGACGTGCAGGCTATAACTGACCTCCTTCTTCTGGCCTAAGATTCGCTGTTCCCCAGAAAGAGGTCGTAAATTGTCATTTTCTTTTGAAACCAATAAATACAATATTTAATTGCACAAAATCTATGCTCTTCTTTCTTTTTTACTCATAAAGCATCAAGACATGTCATCTACACTTGTTCTTGACTTACTAAGTGAAAAAGCAAGAATAAGGATGACAATTTCAGCTCTTGAATTTTCAAAAACAAGTCAACAGTGGCTTCTTTCACACTTCTATCATAATCATTTCTCTTTAAAGTACAACTAAAGCCTTGCGTATGACAATCTTAGCGAGCACCAAATCTAGCTATTATGTGATAACACAAGCCTCATAAAGTGAACAAAAAAATCCTTTATCTTCCCTGACTGAGCCTAGTCCTCTTTCATT